GCTCCCCGTGAAGGGGTGACAGCAAGTCCTTCGTGAGGGGCTCATCCCCTAGCAATAGTGACCCGGGGAGGAGGGTCAGAGGGACACATGGGGTGGCATCCTTTAGGATGCCTGGCCGCTGGTGAATGGACCAGGCCAGGGCCAGCAGAGTCCAAGCCGGTGAGAGTTTTTTGGGGCAGTCACAGTGAGAAACGACGGCCTGGAGTAAACCGTGGCCATCACGGTGGAGCTGGAGAAAGACTTGAAAATGTCCCATGCACACGGGACGGGCACCCTGTGCTCACCCACGCGGCCCACACCCACCTGAGCAAGGTCTCCCTTTTGTCTTTGGGGTCAGAGCTCCACACATGTTTCAGGCCTGCATGGAAACGCAGCCTCCTTCGGAAGCTGCAGGCCCAGCCCACGGCTCAGGGGCCTGGGACCCTCGGGGATCTTCCGTTCTCTCCCCGCCCTCCCTCTCTCTTCTCTCTCTCCCCCTCTCTCCCTCCCGACGCCTTCTCTGTCTCTCCTCTCCTGCTCTTCGTCTTCTCTCTCTCTCACTGGAGCTGCTGTAGCAACTTCCTCGCCCTCCTCTCAAGCATCCCATGCTCTCTGCCCTTTGTCACAACTTCTCGTGTGAGACATCCCCCTCTCTAGACACCTGCAAGTGTGGAAAATGCCCTGACCATCTCTTGCAACCCTCACGTTCCCTCCCACCAGGTAGCCGTGTGCATTCTGGGCCTGCTCCCTCGACATTTTGAACGAACAAACGAAGGGTTATGAAGGCCGGATGGTTTGCCCGGGTGACGTGGCAGACAGCTGGCTGGGGTCACACAGCTGGCAGCCACACCCAGAGCCGGGAGCCCTTCTTCGGACGCCGGGCTCCTGGGATGCGGGAGCGACGCACTCGCCGACCCAACTCGACACAGGCCCTGCAGAGAGCGAATCCAGCCCGCCGCAGGAAGGAGCAGGTTTCGGCCAGCGCTGAAAGAGGCGGCAGCCGGGCCTCAGACCCGGCGGCTGGAGGAAGTGGGCAGGGGTCAGGACACAGGGGCAGGAGGCAGCCTGCAGAGGGCAGGGGCGGGGGCGGGGGTGGGGTGCAGGCTGCAGGGGTCAGGTTGCAGAGGGCAGGGGCGGGGGCCAGGGGGCAACAGGCGTGTGCTTCAGTCACGGCTGCAGGATACACGCTGCTGTCCGGTGCGCAGCCGTCCCTCCCGGCGCCCTCCCTCCTGCGTCCTAGACAGACGTCCCTGGGAAATCCATCCAGGTCCTCCCACTGTGACACCACGCTCCCTGGAACAAGCGCCTGGCCCAGCATCCAGCAGGCCCTGGCAGCTGGCAGCCCCGACTCAGAGAAGAGCCGCCTGCGGCCCGAAGAGCCCCGTGCCTGCCTGGCATCCCCACCTCGCGACAGACCACGTGGCTCCCATCTCCGATAAAAGTGCCAGTGAACCAAGAGCCGCTCCTTCCGCCGTCTGGGGCCCTTGACGCTGACTTATAACAAAAACAACGCCACCAGCAAGGGTTTCCTTTGTGAGGAAAGCTCCCTGGTCTTTCTGCACATCCCATTCTTTGAGGGTAACCCAGGGCCGCAGCGGGCCAGGTGGCAAACAGGTGGTGCCACACATGCCACGCACCCAGGTCTCACCTGCCCTCCACACTCCGGCTACCCCAGGCTCTGCAAGCCTGCTCTTTGCTCCCTGGCTCGCTCCCTCTCCACTCCTCTTGGATCAGGATCGATCTAGAGCTCACTCTTTCCTAGCTAGGCCAAGCAAAACCCGTCCCAAGAGCTGCCAGGAGGAGCGAGAAGATGGCCGCATGCACACGTGTGTGTGTGTTTCTAACTACACTGAGCTTGTTTTTTGGCATTTTCTTGTCTCGCTTCAGGAGGCCTCAAGGCCCTCGATGTGCTCAAACCTCCTGTGTGACTTCCCGGGAAACAGGTTCAGCATCCCCGATTCTGATGCCTCGTGGACCAGGACCCCCCTGCTCCCAGGTCTGCCGGTGTGTCGGGAGCTCAGGCCCCCAGGAGCACATTGGAGAAGCAGACTGGAGCCCAGAGGCAAAAGTGTGCTTTTAAGTTTCTTGTCTGGTGCGAAATGGTGTAATATCGGATGGAGAGATAAGCCTGCAATGAAAGAATGGTGGAGACAGGAGTGCACGTGCTCACACACGTGCTTTTGAGTGTGCTTACATGTGTTTCTGTGTGTCCACATGTGTGTATTTTTGTGTGTTCACATGTGTGTGTGGTTGCTTTCGTGTGCAGGATCATATTTGATAACACCTTTTGGATTTAAAAAGGGTGTGTGAAGATAAAGCAATCCTGTTTCCTTTTTCTTTTCTTTTTTTTTTTTTTTGAGTTGGAGTCTCACTCCGCTGCCCAGGCTGGAGTGCAGTGGCACACTCACGGCCACCCCAGTGTTGACCTGCTGGGCTCCAGCGATCCTTCTGCCTCAACCTTCCAAGCAGCTGGAACTACAAGTGCATGCACCATGCCTTATTTATTGTAGAGACAAGGTCTCGCCAACTTGCCTGGGCTGGACTCAAACTCGCTGTCCATGGGCTGAGCCACCAAGCCCGGCCGCAATCCTATTTTCTTCTGTGACCTGTGACCGGTGTGATTTGAAAAGAAAGAGAGCTGGAAGTGTCCTGAGAGACAACAATGCAGCTGGAATAAGAGTAAGCTCTGTAAAGCAACTGTTAAGAGTATCATTAGCCGGGCTCGGTGGCTCAGCCTGTAATCCTGCGCCTTTGGGAGGCTCAGGTGAGTGGACTGCCTGAGCCCGTGGGTTCGAGACCCTCCTGGGCAGCGAGACCTCATCTCTACAATAAGTAAAAAAAATCAGCCGGGCGTGGTAGCGCTTGCCTGTAATTCCGGCTACTTGGAAGGCTGAGGCGGAAGGATCGCCGGAGCCCAGCAGGTGGAGGCTGCGATGGCCGGGAGCGGACACTGCTCTCCAGTCTGGGCGACCGAGTGAGACTCCAACTCAAAAAAAAAAAAAAGAGTATCATTTATTTAAATGCAAACTAGAATGTGTCTGCTAAAATGTAGAAGCATGTTTACGTGTGTACCTTGCATGGGTTTGCTCACCTGCGTGTGGCCTGTGAATCAGAGCCTGGAAAAGGACTCTGGGGATGAAAGAATTTTATTAAAATGAGTATCAAGAGAAAGCGTCACAAGACTAGCTAGGGGTAGAGAGGCACCTTTCTGAATGAGAGCCAGTATTTCTAGCGTATCTTGCTAGCAACGGTGGGTGAAAAAAGGTCCCCCAGTTCCCATGCCCCAAATCCCCGGACCTGTGATAATGCCACTACCTTATGTGGCAAAAGGGACTTTGAAAATGTGACTCGGTTGACCAGGCTCGGTGGCTTAGCCTGTCATCCCAGCACTTTGGGAGGCTGAGGCAAGTGGATTGCCTGAGCCTGCCGTGGGTTCAAGACCAGCCTGGACAACTTGGTGAGACCTTGTCTTTACAATAAATCAAAAATTAGCCTGGCATGGTAGCACACGCCTGTAGTTGCAGCTACTTAGAAGACTGAGGTAGAAGGATCGCCGGAGCCCAGCAGGTTGACATTGGGGTGGCTGTGAGCGTGTCACTGCACTCCAGCCTGGGCAACCGAATGAGACTCCAACTCACAGAAAAAGAAAAAGCCAGGCTCGGTGGCTCAGCCTGTCATCCCGCGCCTTTGGGAGGCTGAGGTGAGTGGATTACCTGAGCCCATGGGTTCGAGACCC